CTTCCCCAGGCCTGGCACTGCCCTCTGCTAGCTACGTGGCTGCCCTCGACAGTACCTCCCACTCGGGAACTCTGTCCCCACCTCCCGCTCACAGGAGTTAGCCATTCCCCTACCCGGCCCTCTGTCCCTCCTCAGCCTGGGCCTCTCCGTCTGTCACATATGGTGTCGCCCAGGCCTGCTCACCAGAACTCCACCCCAGTGTCCTGCTCACCCGCATCTCTCCTGGGGACGCCGAGGGCCTTGCCTGCCTCCCTGGCCCGAGCCAGCCCACCTCCCTCCCGCCCCTCAGTGTTCCCACCTCCCTCCCCACCACCTGGGCCACCTGGGCACGAGCTGTCCGGGAAGCGCCTCAGTGGCCCTCCTCTTGCTGGATCTGGGTTCCAGAGGTCTGGGCTGGTGCGGATCAGTCAGTGTAGGTTTGGTTCATGAGCAGAGGCTTCTGGGATGCCCAACCAGCCCCTGGGCCCTGCCCGCTTACAGCCCCCGGGGGTCCTAGAGCCAGGGGCCGTGGCTTGACTTGGACCCTACTGCTATAGTCCTAGAGACCTGCTGCTTGGGTGAGCCTGGGGGAGAATGCCCATAAATCCCATGAATCCTGGCAGCCTCCTTGGCGGCAGCGCCTAGGCTGGGGGCTCGGGACAAGTCTTTGCACAGGGAGCACTTCCAGGGGAGGAAGGAGGGGCCCAGAGGAAGTAGTGCAGGGGAGAAAGGAGGGTACATGGGGGGCCAGGTCAGGCCAGGCCCCTTGGTGGCTGGGATGTGTCAGTAACGGCTCCCAGTGGTCACGGCCAGAGCCTGGTGCAGGCTGACATTGACGCAGTGAGTAATGTGGGCTTCTGGTCAGCAGTGTCCAGGGGCTCCCCAGATGGCCGCTGATGGCACAGGGAGGCTGCAGAGGCTACAGAGGAGCTGTGGGCCCTAATCATCGTCCTACGGCTGCCATTTTAGCGCAGCGAAACCGTTCTTCTTGGTACTGGGATCAATTTCTTAGCTTGGTGGGGGGCGCTAAAACTTCCAGAAAGAAAGTCAGAGTCCAGGGAAATGAATCCTGCGTGAATCAGCAACACAAATGATTCCCCGGGCAGGGTGGGTGTGGGCCAGAGTCCCTTTCCCCACGGGCTTCCAGAGCACCCAGCCCGTCTGGGACTTGCAGGGAGGGAGGGGACGAGGGGCAGACCTGGCCAGGGCCCGGGGCAGGACCAAGGAGGCGGGTGCCAGGGGAGGCGCTGAGTCAGTGAACAGCGCTGGAGGGGCGCCAGCAGCCCAGTTGGGGGGCGGTGCTCCTGGCACGCAGCTCACCCTGCCATCCTGCCCACGGCCCGGTGGGCCTGGGGCCAGCTGAGGGCGGTGGGGGGGGGGGGGGTGAGGGCGTCCTGTGCCAGGGCTCGAGCAACAGGGAGGCGGCCAAGAGCACATGATTCTCTAACAAGAATCCAAGGGATTGCCCCAGAGATGTGATATTTTTGGAGAGGGAGAGGGAGAGAGAGAGAGAAACAGAGACAAAGACAAGAGACAGAAAGAGACAGAGAGACAGAGAGACAGAGAAACTGAGATAGACAGACACAGACAGAGGTAGGTAGAGAGACAGAGATAGAGAGAGACAGACAGACAGACACACACAGACAGAAATACAGACAGACAGAGGCAGAGAGACAGAGATACACACAGAGACAGACACACACACAGAAAGAGAGAGACAGGCAGAGATACAGACAGAGACAGAGAGAGACAGACACACAGAGAGACAGATATACACACAGAGACAGACAGACAGAGACAGAGACAGAGAGACAAATACACACACAGAGACAGATAGAGATAAAGACAAAGACAGAGGCAGAGAGAGACAGACACACACACACAGAAACAGACAGAGACAGACAGACAGAGAGACAGATATACACACAGAGAGACAGATAGACAGAGACAGAGAGACAGATATACACACAGAGAGACAGAGAGAGATAGAGACAGAGGCAGAGAGACAGAGACAGATAGATACACACACACACACACACACACACACACACACACACACACACACAGAGTTTCCCCATCGCTCTCAACTCTCCCTGATGCTAGGGTGACAATGGGTGTTTCAGACCCTGGATTCTTCCCCAGGGGCAGACAGGGGCTTAGAGTCTCAGACGTGCCTGTTGGGGTTTCACCCCCCAAACTGCAGGTCCTGGTGGTCCCGCAACCCTTCCAGGTGATTGATGTGGTCTGAGCCAGGCAGAGGCAGGGCAGACAAGGAAGAGGAGTGAGGCCTTATGGGCACAGAAGGGCCACACAGGAACAGGCTGTAAGTTCCAGAACAGAAAGGACCCTGACTGGAGCCCCAGCAGCTCCAACTAAGCCCTCAGGGGCCGTGGTCGCCCACCGGGTTCTGCCTCCAAGACAGCGCTCAGCCAGCCAGCAGGAGGGACCTCCCGCTGAGGGTCCAGCCACTTCCGCCCTCCATGCCCCCAGCAAGGAGCTTTCTTGCTCAACAGTTCCTGCAAAGGCCCGCGTGCCCCTCTCTCGTGTCCTTCTCTGAGGCCTGGGCCTTGCTCCAACAGGATGGTCAGTGACGCTTGTAGAAACCGCGTGGATGGGCCCATCCTCTGCTCCCGACCCTTTCCCCGGAGACAGCCCCTGCTCCCGTAGTCTCAGCCTCCCTCTGGAACCCCGAGCTCACTCAGGAGACCCTGGGCTGCGTTTCCAAACCCCACCACGCCCCTCCCTGACCATGCAAGTAATACTGCAGGGGACCACACGCTCTCTTTTTGGCTTGGGGCCACACCTAGCAGTGCTCGGGGGTCCCTCCTGGCTCCGTGCTCAGGGGACCATGTGGGGTGTTGAGGTGAAACTCGGGTTGGCAAGCACCCTCCCCGCTGTGCTATGGCTCTGTTCCCTGATCGTGTCAGGCCCTCTGGGCTCAGGCAGGTGTGTGGTTCCTCCCAATACAGCGATGATAGGTGGCACGCATGATGACCTTCCTCACTGTCCAGGGACGAGACTGAGACAGAGCGGTTTGCCGCACGGTGTTGGGGAGCCCTGGTCGACCCACTCTGGGTCACATCCGGACCTGGGGCCCACTCAACTGCACGGATGGGGAGGGAGGGTTGGAAAGAAACAGGGTGGGGTGGGAGAAGCAGCAGACTCCCCCTAGAGGGGGCTGGAGCGATAGCACAGCGGTAGGGTGTTTGCCTTACAAGCGGCCAACATGGCCGACCCGAGTTCGATTCCTCCACCCCTCTCGGAGAGCCCGGCAAGCTACCGAGAGTATCTCACCCGCACGGCAGAGCCTGGCAAGCTCCCCGTGACGTATTCGATATGCCAGACACAGTAGCAAGTCTCATGATGGAGACGTTACTGGGCCCGCTCGAGCAAATCGATGAACAACGGGAGGACCATGGACCGTGGACCCCCTAGAGGAACCTCAGTTTGGATCAATTTGGGGGTGGTAGGAGCTGTCTTTTCAGAAGTACAAAGAAGGTTTGAACAGCCAAAGCACAGGTGGACTTCAGGAACGGCTGTACCAAGCACTCCCCAGACCAGCATCTTCGTCCCCGCTTATGCTGTCTCCGGAGCTTCAGCCCCGGTCCAGGAGCAGGCTTCAGCTTTAACGGGCCTTAAAGGGCTCATTCTGGGCCCAGGAGCACGGCTGCCCCCGGGAGAAGTGGCAGGCCGAGCTGGGATGGGAAGGGAGGAGCAGAGACAAGGCCCGTGGGAGCCGGTGATGTGGGAACACATCGAATGCGGTGACAGTGAGATGGGAAACTTAGAGGCAGAAGCAGGAAACTAGAGTCATGGCCTCTGGATGGTCCATTCTAGGAGCTGGGCAGAGCAGCATCAGCCGCAAGTCACAAAGGTCTGATGAGCCCAGAGCAAGAGTCCCACTGGGCCGCTTGAAGAGGCTAGAGTGATAGCACAGCGGGTAAGGCATTTGCCTTGCACGCGGCCAACCTGGGTTCGATTCCCACCATCCCACACGGTCCCCCAGCACAGCCAGGAGTGATTCCTGAGTGCAGAGCCAGGAGCAACCCCTGGGCATAGCCAGGTGTGACCCACAAAGTAAAACAAAACAAATAAACCCCAAACCAAACACCAATGGACGGCTTGAGCCGGCCTGGAACGGGTTCACAGAAGCAATGAGTAAAAATGTCCATACGGAACTAAAAATGTTTCAATCACTGATGGTGCGAATCATTCTGTATGTGAGCGGCCACTGTGGATGTTACTCTAGAATCGTTCCCATAGAGTCACCATATCACGGGGTGGGAGAGAGAGATGTCGTACGGCGGGGAGGGCACTTGCCTTGCACACGGCTCCCCGATACTTCATATGTTCCCCTGAGTACTGCCAGGAGTGATCCCTGAGCACAGTCAGAGCCGGGAGGCAGCCCTGAGCACAGCCAGGCATGGCGGCCAAACAAACACACAAGCGAGGAAAAGAATCGCCGTCTCCTGCCTCTGAGCTGCTTTGCGGCTCAGGTCATGTCCGGGTGTGGCGAGGAGTCTGGTGTTCCCCTTTCTGTCTCCGGGGCCATCTGCTTCTGATCAGAGTTCTGTAACAACGGCATGGCCAGAGGGAAATCGGTGCCTATGACAAGGAGTCCCAGGGCTGCCAGCTCTCGGGCTCACGCCACCCTCCTTGTTCTGTTCAGCAGCGTCACCTGCGGGGCGGGGAGGGGGGAGCCTCTGTCCTGGGGGTCCTGACTCCCAGCGCCCTCTGCCAGCAGGAATGGCAGGAGAGAAGTTCATCCCTCCCATTGGGTCTGGTGGCGTGGCGGGGGTTGGGTGGGGGCTGCTGCACCTCCAGGAAACGACCACCCTGAGTTCCAGCCCCCAGGAGAGGAGGGTGGAGATGAAGCCCCCTCCCCAATCAGTCCCGCCTTGGCAGAGGCCTGCTAGGAGCTGACTCCCCCCAGGGTGTGTGTGGGGCGGGGGGAGGGTCCTGGGCTTCAGTGGGATGTGGGGGGGCTGCCCTGTGCCCTCATCTCCCGCCTCTGCCTGCAGGGGTCCTGTGGCTGTCGGTGGTCTCCGAGGTGCTGTACATCCTCCTGCTGGTGGTCGGCTTCAGCCTCATGTGTCTCGAGCTCTTCCACTCCAGCAATGTCATTGACGGCCTCAAGCTCAACGCCTTTGCGGCCGTGTTCACGGTTCTCTCAGGTAAGCGCGTGGAAATGGGCGTGCCACCCCCACGGGGGTGTCTGTGGGAGTCAACGTCCCCTGGGCCACTGGGGAGGGATGCTTCTGTGGCAGGGAGCACGGGAAGGGACTGGGAACAGGTGTCCATGGACCATCCCGGGGGGGGATCTGAGTGTGTGGCCATGGGGGGCAGGGAACTCAGCAGCTTGGATTTGCAAGAGCCACACGGAGCTGCCGGTGGGTGGGGGCGTGGGGAGGGAACACTGGTGCAGTGGGAGCCCCCGGCGGAGAGTGGGGTGGGCAGTCATTGTGGGGAAGGGCCCTGGCAGCTGGAATGGGGTGATCTGGGCTAGAGTGACCGTACAGAGAAGGGTGTTTGCCTTGCATACAGCCAACCTGGCTTCGATCCTCAGCTTCCCCCGTGGTCCCCTGAGCCCACCAGGAGTGATTCCTGAGTTCAGAACTAGGAGTAACCCCTGAGCACCGCCAGGTGTGGCTAAAAATACCCCCCAAAGAATGGGGTGACCAGGAGCACCCCATTACACAGGGGTAGGGTTGAGGACACCAATAAAAAGTCTTGGGTAGCTTCCCCGCCGCACCAAGGCTGAGAGTTGCCCCCCACGAGCGGCTCTCCAGCACGGCCCTGGCCCCAGAGACACACAAACCAATCTCGTAACTATGCGATCTTTGGCAGAAATCGCTCCAGACTTAATTAGTAAAATATCAGAAATCCAACCGCGTGGCCGCGATAGCCACGACATCATATGGTCTTCCTAACCAGCAAAAGAAAACAAATTATTTCACAGTGCCTTTTCAGCAGTTCTGATTGTTGGGGGGAAATTCCAAATAATAATGGTGCATCTTTTGTCGAAATAATGAATGTAATCAAAGTAGAGAGAGAGTTAAGTGGAAATCATCTGCCTTACAGGCATCGGGAGAGGTGGATGGGGGGAGGTATATTGGGGTTCTTGGTGGTGGAAAATATGCACTGGTGAAGGGGTGGGTTTTGATCATTGTATGACAGAGACTTAAACCTGAAAGTTTTGTAACTGTTTTCACGGTGATTCAATAAATAAATTAATTTAAAAAAAAGTCTTGGGTAGGGGCCCAGCAGGCCCCGTTTCTGGAGGTAAGAGGGGGAGGGGTGCGCCAGAGAACCTGGGAACCGGGCAGCCAGAGGGAGGCCTGGCCGTGCCTTCGTCTGCTCCCGAGAAACCCAGTGAAAATAGAATTTCTAGAAATCGAGTCCAGTTCCTCACACGTTGGCAGAGGGCCTGCAGTTTGTGAAACCTTCGGGGAAGGGAAATAATCGGCCCTAATTGAGGTTCTGACAGAATAATAGAGGAAATCTCAAGGAGTGGAGCTGATTTAAGGAACTACGACTCGATGTGGTCTTGTGAGGGGAGAGAAGAGACTCCCACACCCGTGCAGTCGCCGAGGCCCAGGCGGAGAGCTGGACAGAGGCTGGGATCGCGGTGCGTCATGGGGACTTGAACCCAGTCGGAATGATTCAAGAGATGATTGGCAGGTTGAGCCCGCCTTTCTGCTCTAAACTACATTCCAGAGCGTCAGTGAAGAGTGTTGCAAGGTTCCCTGTAGTTTGTACTTACGTTTAAAACAAGACACTATTTACAGACAATACAAAATATATTCTTTCGTTTGTGTTTTGGGACAGGGATCGGGTCTTGGGATGGAAACATCCCGAATTTGGTGGTGGGAAGGTGGAATGGTGGTGGAACTGGTGTTTGAGGATTAAATGTAATCAAATATTGTGAACTAACTTATAAAAGAAAAAAAGAAAAAAAGGAAAACAAGATACTGTTTACAGACATGCACCAGTGACGCTTCCCCATAGCTACCGCCACGGGGGCCATGGGTCTCTGCAAAGCTCAGGGTCAGGGTCTGTAAACCCCAGGGATTTACATAGTCAGCACAGCTTCTAACTTCTTAGAGCCTGACTCTACGGAACTTTTAACCCTTCCTTGGTCCAACAGGAATGGCACTTCCTTAAACTATATAATATTAGGGCCCTCCCGTTGATCGTCGATTTGCTCAGCGGGCCCAGTAACGTCTCCATTGGAGACTTTGTTGTTACTGTTTTTGGCATATCGAATATTAGGGCAGATTATAACAAATAACTTAAACCGGTACGGAACTGTTTGTTTCAAAGCTGCGCTGGGCTCGAACTCGGGACCTGAGCTGGACCTCAGAGCCTCACTCCCCAGCCCCCTTGGTTCCTCTGCTCCTGTCAGCCTTTCTTCACAGCCTCAGCCAGCTGTGCCCCGGCACGCGCCAGGTCTGCGGGGATCCAAGCCCACCCTGAGTTTGCAGTGTGGTGAGAGACGGTCTTATGGGCGGTTTTGGAAATGCTGTGTTGGTGTCTCGTACTGGGCACGGTGAGTCCGGCAGGAGGGAGCCCAGGCTGGCCCAGAGGTGGGCAGGAGGGGGCAATGTGGAAAATGACCAAGTTCCAGATAAGTAAGGGAAGGCACTGCCGGTGTAGGGGCAGCGGCCAGGGGGTGCCATGTTCCAGAGACTTCCTCGGGGTGGTGGGAAGGAGGCAGTCGAAGTGGAGTTGGAGAGCCGAGTGAGGTCGGGGAGCTTTGCAGGCGTTCGAGTTTTCCCAGGGAAGTTGCCTCCTGGATGCAGAGTGAGGGACAACCGGCCCGGGGTGCCTTGGAGGCTGAGGGGTCGGGGTCAGCTCAGACAGAAGCAGGGAGCAGCCAGGAGTCAGGAGAGGACGCAGCTGCCGCCGTGGCTGAGCCCAGGGTAGGGGACAGGGACTCCGTTGCTCTGGCTGGAAGCGGGGGAGGTCCACAGGCTTGAGCACAGATTGGGAGGGGGTGCAGGCGAGTTGGTCTGGGGGAAAGAGAATCCAGGGAAGGGCCAGTTGCCAGGGGGGGAGGGGTTGCGGGGAACGTCCACAGGACTCAGGGTCTGAGACCTTCTGGGCATCCCAGTGTGTGAGGGGGCGCGGTAGTGCCGTGGCCCCCTGGAGCAGACCATGTATTCCACAGCACGTGAGCGTGGGGGCAGAGATCCTTAACCGTGAGATCCGTTAGCCACCCGCCGAGTCCGGGTCCCTAAGCTCCGACCCAGCAAGTGCAACCACATATTTCTGTGTCTGTATTTGCACTCAGTGGGTTTCCTCTGCCGTCGTCCTGCCTTGGACTCCAGGCTGCTGAGGGCCCCGAGTGCCAGCTTCCTAGACACACCCCCTCCCAATTTCGTTTTCTTTTTTTTCTTCTTTCTTTCTTTTTTTGGCTGCTTTGGGTCACACCTGGTGACACACGGGGTTCCTCCTGGCTCATGCACTCAGGAATGACTCCTGGCGGTGCTTGGGGAACCATGTAGGATGCTGGGAGTCGAACCCGGGTCGTCCGCGTGCAAGGCAAACACCCTACCCGCTGTGCCATCGCTCCGGCCCCCAGTCCCTCCCCATTTCTGTTCCTCCCTAAAGCCAGACCCGTCCCCCACCCCCAAACCAAAGCAGGTGGTCAGGGGGAGGTAGCCAGGTAGGTTCTTTCTTCCAGGGCGCCTTCTTCTGCCCCCTCCTAAGGCTCATCCAAATTTTTGCCCTCAATTCCTCCCCCAAACTCCCCACCCCCCACCCCCAGGACCCCACACAGGTGGCAGGTTGCCTTCTAGCTGCCCCTGGCATCCCACTGCTCAAGAAAATGAGCTTGCCTCTGTCCTGTGCCTAGATAAACAATGCCGGGCTCAGGGAGGTTAATTGACTTGCCCAAGGTCACACAGCTGGTCTGCTGTGGAGCTGGGATTAAACGGGCTCCCACAGCTTCAAAGTCCCATATGCTGCTCAGGACGCAGCTGCGGGCTCAGAAAGCCAACACGGGGAAGGTGATGTCACCAGACCCACGGGGCAGACAGGAGTCGAGAGAGGATGAGCACAGGGTGGGGGTTGGGGGGGTGAGTGCTGGCAGAGAGCAGCTGCCCCACCTGGGCTGGAGCTGGGACCCCAGGGGGACAGAGCAGGCAGAGGGCAGAGTGCTGGGGGGTGGGGGGAGGGGGAGCAGACCAACTCCCCCAACCCCCCCCCAGGGTCCAGCTGCTGGGCGGCCAGCTTGGGGAGCTGCCGGCCAAGGTCGACATCGTCCAGCATAGAGAGCAGAGTTGGGGCCGTCCCTGAATTATTATCATTAGTGATGAATTACTGTCATCAGCCCGTTGATTATGGCTCGTCATAATAGCTGGCGCTGCTGTCACGTGGAGGCCCGGACAAACCGGCCACACGTGTGACTCTGCTCGTCACCATGTCCTTGGGGGGCGGGAACTGCAGGATGGCCCTTCCCCAGGTGGCTGGAAGCCCAGCTTCCCCCCACACTCGGAGCCCAAGGGGGCTCGCAACCCGGGGGCTTGAGCAGCACCTAGGGTGGGAGGCCTGGGTGTGTCACCCTGGCTGTCACTTCGAGCTGACCTCAGGGCCCAGTGAGATGGACAGCTCCCAGCAGCAGGGCCGGGGGTCACGTCAGCAGGGCTGTCCTCTTTTTTTTTTTTTTGCGATTTTTATACATTTTATTTTCATAAAGTCGTTCACATTAGTTCATTACAGATAATATTCAAACTCCCACCCAACCAGCGAGCACCTTCTCACCACAGTAAGAGGGAAGCGTCTGAAGGTTGTTGTATTTCATTCCGGGGCCCTTTAAGCCCGTTTATAAGAGAACACAAGCAAGTATGTTAAGACCAAACACACGTGTGCTGCTTTAGGTACATCGGTGGGCTAGACTAGAAGAGGTCGCGAATGCTTTGTTTTATAGTCTCTGTATCTTGGCCATTGATGAAATTGCATGGGGGCGGGGGCAGGGGGGCACAATTTGTGGGTGTGGCTGCCAAGCTACTGGAAAACTGGGGATCTGGGTGCAGGAGGTCCAGCCCCAATCGGAGCAGGCTTGGAGACCTCAGCCCCGGGTCTCGCATACCTGGTTGCTCTGCCAGTTCCTTCATGGGTGAGGTTCGTCTGAGCCTGAGGGCGTTCCTCTTCTGCAGAAGGTACGTCCCCA